ATAGGATTGATGTAGGGTGCAAGTAGGCTTTTTAGAGCAGGGGTTCCCAGGCCCAGCCTAGTACTGGGTTGTGGCCTCTTTAGAACTGGGCCATGCCAGTAGCTGGCTGGCACATGAACACACATGCACATATGCAGCTTGACTTGCACAACTGGCAGGCTGGCGCACACACGCACCTGTGCTGCTCAACTTACACGAGCGGCAGGCTTATTCCCCTCTCCTCCTCCCCCCCTCTGCCCCGGCCTGGCAACCAAGCTGTAAAGGTTGAGGACCAAGGACTTAGATGTAGTCCTTGACTTACAACCATTCCTTTAGCAGCCATTTGGAGTTACAGTGCATTAAAAAAAAAAGACCAGTTCTAGCATACATGACTGTCACAGTATCCCCTGGGTCATATGATCAGAATTTGGGCACTTGGCAATTGGCATGCGTTTATGACAGTTGCAGTGTGTTGGAGGTTACACGATTGTCATTTGTGACCTTCCCAGGGGCTTCCAACAAAGCCAATGAGGGAAGGTGGATTCACTTAATGACTCTGTGATTCACTTAACAATTGCAGTAATTCATTTAACAATCATGGCAAAAATTGAAAAATCAAGTGTGACTTAATAACCACCTTGTTCAGCAGTGGAAATTCTGGTTCCAGTTGTGTCATAAGTCAAAGACTACCACTTTTGCTCTATTGCAGGGGTCTTCAAACTTGGCCCTTTTATGACTTGTGGATTTCAATTCCCAGAATTCCTGGCTGAGGAATTGAAGTCCACAAGTCATAAAAGGGCCAGGTTTGAAGACTCCTGCTCTATTGCATTATTGTCCATACAATAATGTCCAGGTAAGAATGCCTGATAAGGGTCTAGACAACATTCAAATTTAAGAACCTTAGCACAAGTAATTGGAAAGAGATCCCAAACCAAAGAAAGATAAGCAGTATATTACCCATTCTTCCTTGAAGCTGTTAAGAGTTTTAAACTATAGTTTGATTGATGGCTTACATATTAGAAACTAAAACCACTAAATTCAGTGGGCTACATTGTATAATCCCAGCTGGTCTTTATAACTGGATAATTTACTAGATTCAATGAGAAATGTTGAAAGATGTGTTGTTATATAAGCCATACAGCTTTTTGGATTTGAATTCCAAATGCTGCTTTGAGATGCACTGTGGAGCTCCAGTCTAATTCCTTGTACTCCTGTAGAAAAGTTATAAATCTGAAAAATAAATAAAACTCTCAGAATTGTTAGCCAGCAGTGCTAGGGGATGAGGAATTCTTGCCTCACACACTTTGAAGGGCACTGAATTGAGTGTTGCTACCTGACAGCATTTCTAAAGTATCTTCCAAGGATAGGAAACCTAATGGTTTCCAGATTTTTTTAAATGGCAATACAGTACATCTAAGGTCTTCCCGTTTGATATAGCATTTGATTTGATGGAGGTTGAAGTTCAATGGACCACCAGATTGCCTGTTCTAGTGTCTGGATCAGTCACAGATTATCAAAGCCTTTGAACTTCCTTCTCTGTTCCTTTGCCCAAGTTCCACTTGTCATCAAGGTCAAACTTAATCACTTTGCAGTTATGTTCTCTGCTGCTTCTCTGAAGTTTTCTGTACAGATTAAGAAATGCTTTTTGATGGTAATGTCTTTGATTTGTAATGGAGAGCTGTGATGCATCTAGGATCCAAAGATTGTTAAGTGTCTTGAAAATTGCCCAGTAAAGTAAGCAATGTTTAATGAGAATCAGGAAGATAGTGAGCTGAAGCAGAGATAACATTAGAGATACAAACTGCTCGCTAAACTTTATTTTGAACGGAAAACATGTATATGAGCTGTCCAGCAATTTGAAAAAAGAGTTCCATGTTTATTTTACCTCTTGAAACATAGTAGAATAACATCTCTTTTGTTCTTTATTAAGCATTAAAGAGAAGGAAAGGGAGAATAGAAGCCAAAGAGAAATGGGAAAATCAACAAGACTTGAGTGATTTAAGGGTGTTCTCTAAATCACTTTTGTTTAGTGCAAAATATGTACTGTAATAATAATAATAATAGTGGCAGTGCCTGGAGACAGCAGAATAGACGAGAAAGAACTGGAGAAGATAACAAAATACAAAGACCTACAAATAGAAATAGAAAGACTGTGGCAAAAGCAAACAAGGGTAGTACCAATAGTAATAGGCTCCTTGGGTGCAATCCAAAACAACTGGAGCACCACTTGAACACCTTTGGCATTGGCAAATTCGCTATTGGTCAATTGCAAAAGGCGGACTTACTAGGAATTGCTTCCATCCTGCGACAATACCTGTAATACCATCAAACATCCACATCTGCCTATCCCAGGTCCTGGGTAAGGACTCGATAGGTAGACAAAATGTCAAATCCAGTCTGAACATCTGGCTGACTGTGTGATGATCCATAATAATAATAATAATAATAATAATAACAACAATAATAGCAGAACTAAAAGCAATGGATAGGAAGACCAGAAAAATAATGACAGTGAATCATGCCCTTCATCCACGCAGTGACATTGACAGACTTTATTTACCAAGGCAAATAGGTGGGCGTGGAATGATACAAGTACATCAGATGGTTGAAGAAGAAAAAATGGCTTTGGAAGAATATCTGAAGAACAATGATGAAGATGCACTGAAATTAGTATATCAGGAAGGCTTACTAACTACTGGAGAGACCAACTGGCCTACAAGAAAGACCAAATGAAGAACAGAATAGAGGCATGGGAAGACAAAGCACTACATGGCCAATACATTAAAAAAAAATAGCTGGGAAAGCAGATAATAACAAGACCTGGCAATGGCTAAAAGCAGGAAAATTGAAGAAAGAGACCGAGGGACTAATTCTGGCTGCACAAGACCAAGCCTTAAGGACAAATGCATACAAAGTCAAAATTGAGAAGACAGCAACAGACAGTAAGTTCCGCCTATGCAAAGAAGCTGAAGAAACAGTGGACCACTTGGTAAGCTGTTGCAAGAAGATTGCACAGACTGACTACAAGCAGCGGCATGACAAAGTAGCAACAATGGTGCATTGGAAGATCTGCAAAAAATATCAGTTGCCTGTAAGCAAAAACTGGTGGGATCATAAAATAGAGAACGTCATAGAAAATGATAAAATTAAACTGCTCTGGGACTTCAGAATTCAAACAGACAAGCACCTGCAACATAACACCCCAGACTTAAAAATTGTCGATCAGAAAGACAAAAAAGTCTGGATAGTGGACGTGCAGTGCCTGGAGACAGCGGAATAGACAAGAAAGAACTGGAGAAGATAACAAAATACAAAGACCTACAAATAGAAATAGAAAGACTGTGGCAAAAGCAAACAAGGGTAGTACCAATAGTAATAGGCTCCTTGGGTGCAATCCCAAAACAACTGGAGCACCACTTGAACACCATTGGCATTGACAAATTCGCTATTAGTCAATTGCAAAGGCGGCCTTACTAGGAACTGCTTCCATCCTGCGACGATACCTGTAATACCATCAAACATACACATCTGCCTATCCCAGGTCCTGGGTAAGGACTCGATAGGTAGACAAAATGCCAAATCCAGTCTGAACATCTGGCTGACTGTGCGATGATCCAATAATAATAATAATAATAATAATAATAATAATAATAATAGAGTTGGATGGGACCTTTGAGATCTTCTAGTCCAACCCCTGCTCAGGCATGAAACTTTAAACCATTTCAGACAAATGGCTGTCCAGTCTCTTCTTTAAAACTTCCAATGTTGGAGCATTCACAACTTCTGGAGGCAGGTTGTTCCACTGATTAATTGTTCTGTCAGGAAATTTCTTCTTAGTTCTACATTGCTTCTCTCCTTGATTAGTTTCCATCCATTGCTTCTTGTCCTGCCTTCAGGTGCTTTGGAGAATAGCTTGAATCCCTCTTCTTTGCAGCAACCCCTAAGATATTGGAACACTGCTATCATGTCACTCCTAGTCCTTCTCTACATTAAACTACACAATTTAAGCAAGTTATAGTTTCCTGTGCACCAAGATATCAAAATCTGCAAGATGATGGATATGTTATCCCAATCAAAGCCCTGCCCCCTTTATATAGCCATAGGGCATTGTTTCATATCCAAAAGAGACAGATATTCAATTGCAGTGAAACCCCACCATCTTGCTGTTTTTGATTGCTATCCAAAGATGTTAACTGGATTTTATTGCATTGAGTGAATAATTCTTGCATCAATAGTTTTATTTTGGAATGTGATTTGTCAGTGATTTTCATAAAATGTAGTTTTGTTTTTTTTAAAAAAAAGAGAAAAAAAATGAATTGGGATTTGGGGATTAAAAGGGGACAGACAAGATGGGGAAAACAGGGAAAAAAGAAATTAGAACTGTCGTAAATCAGAAATATAGAGAGACGGTCAGGAGGCATAATTATATATTTTCATTTCTTTTTTTTAAATTTCTCTCTTCTATTTTGTTTCTTGTTTCCTGTCTTTCTTAGTCTTATACTGAAAAATTCTAATTAAAAATGTTCAAAAATAGCTTTGATTTCTGAATCATAGTTTTTTACAACTCTTTCATTTCTGTGGGAGAAAATTTTTATTCCTGCTGTCCTTGATTGACTGGTCTATCCTACCTGAATTTATGAGGCTTATTTTAGAGTGGATGTGTACAGGATTATACTTTTACTTTTTAATTCATTTATAATTCTTCCTACATTTGCATAGCTTTAGCTATACTGGAGAATGAATATCGGATGAAAATTTCTCCTGAATTTTTCATAGAAATGGCTCTCTTGGATCTGTCAGTGAAAGATTTGATGAGTTCTAGGTTATAGCCAATATATTAAAGTTGTTGAAAGCTAAATATGATAAAACATAAAAGTGCACTATTTTCAGAGTCCTAAAAGGGAAAGAAGAAGAATTGATCAAGCAGTCAGTACAAACTAACAAATCACAATATATGTTTCTACTATTCCAGTTCTTTTTTGCTCATACTAATGGTAAAATTCTACATTCTGTTTTTGCAGAATGACCAATCTATGGAAGATACTCGTATCATAGGAGGAGATGATTTTCCAAAATTGGCTGGAAAGGTTTGTACACATTTTAATAGAAACATTTCTTTTGTTCTTAAAGGAGTTTGAGTTTTAAAAACTGCTTATTTAACCTTGAAACTAAATTTTGAATATGGGAACGTATAAATGATTATTTATAAATACCGGTAATCCTTGTTCAGTGACTGCTCATTCAGTGACCATTCAAAGTTACAATGGCACTGAAGGGAGACACTTATAGACATTCCTTGTCAGTGTAGCCATCGCAGTATCCCTGCAGTCACATCATCACAATTCAGGCACTTGGCAACCAACATGCATTTACGACATTTTCAGTATCTCTCAGTCAGATCATCATGCTTGTGATCTTCACTACCAGTTTCTGCAAGCAAAGTCAGTGAGGAAGCTGGCAGGAGATCACAAATGGTGATCTTGTGGTACTGCATTTAACGACCACAAGGATTCATTTCATGATCACCACTGGAACTATCATAAGTCCATGCAATCATATGACATTGTACTTTATGTCTGCATCACTTAGTGATGGAATTGCTGGCCCCTATTGCTATTATTAAGCAAGGAACATCTAATAAATTACCAATACTGATAGGTTTTGTAATGCTCTAAGTCAAATATCCTTCTGGGACTCTTGCAACCCCCATCATTCCCACAGCATGCCCACTATGAATCCAGTTAAAAATATAAAGATGTATGTGATTATATTTGAATGCCATGATAAATTATATATTATTTTTTTCCTAAATCCACCAGATGTGTTGAACGTGGTTTCATAATTGCTTTTGTTTTGCTGGCAGGGAATTACAAAACCTGGAAAACTTGTGTTTGGGAAGGCTGATTTCTTACAATGAGTACAAGCCTAAGTAACCTATCTTGGACATGCATATTTCCCTACCAACCCAGCACAACTTAACTATGGTTTACAAAACCATTCAGTGCCTAAACTGTGGTTAACTTTATCTAAAACAAGTTAGCTTCATATCTCATGGCCCTGGTAACATTAAATACAATTTGTCAGATTTCAACAATATGATTAATTACAGTTTATCAGAAATGGAAACAATTGTTAGAACATGATTGAAAAAGGATGCACGTGAGACTAAACCTTGTGTAACTTGTCTCTGTAATTATGAACAATAACTTATTGTGATGTTTGAAAACAGCTATTATCTGTTTGGCTTCACAATGTATCATTACATTGGTTTTGGCAGTAGTTCTCCGTTTACACATCTTGCCAGTTGATGGTGTCTTGGGCAAGTTAGCAACAAGCAAAGCTACTTGCTGGGTTAATACATTGTGCTAAGCTACTGTGGTGTCCATGTTGTTGGATGAATGTGGCATGACTATGCAGCCATTGTAATTTCTAAACTTTGAATTATAGCTTAGAGCTATGTATCTACCAGCTCAGACTTGCAGGCAAAGTAGCCATGGTTTTTGTGGCCTATATCCAGTTTGTTTTCTGTCTTGAACTGTTCTTGCCTGCTGCATCTGTGAATTGACTAGAGGTTTCAACAACTTCAACAACCCCTCCCCATACACAGACAGTGCATGTGTGTGTGTATGTGCGCGTGTGCCCACCTGTACACATTTATTGACTGATTGATTGATCAATAAAACTTCTAAACAGTCCATTTCCTTCTTGGAGGAGCTCTGGGCAATGTACAATTTAATCAAAATAATAAAACATTAAAAATTGAATAAGTCAGGATTAATTTTAACATTTTTAAAAAATGTAAAATAACTTTATAAAATTACAAAAATTCAAGAATTCCAAGATGGGGAGATTAGGAGTTCTTAATACAGGTGGCAGGGGTTCTTATGTGGCCTATCAGTGCCCCCCCCACAAGGCTACACAGCCATGTTTTGACCCCTTTGCGGAAGGCCGCGAGATTAGGAACTTTCCTCAATTCTGAGGGCAAGATGTTTCACAAAGCAGGTACAATAGCAGAAAAATCTTTCTTCCTTGACTCCGCCAGTCAATTTTTTTGACCCTACCTAATCAAGTGGGACAGACTAATGTGATGAGGCAAGCCCTTCTGTAGGTAGCCTGGCTTCATAGGTAATACCAAACACCTTAAACTGGAATTAAAAGCAAACTGGAACCCAGTGAAGTTCGCGGAGCAGAAATATTATATGTGCCTTTTCTGGGTACCCATTATAGCTCATACGGCTGCATTCTGCTTCCAGATACTTTTCAAAGATGTGTAAATATATTGTATGTGTGTGTGATATGTATACATTATAAACATGTATATTGTTAGATTTCGTTCCATTCATTAAATCAGTAATCTATGGTTTCAAAAAGTGGTTGCTAACAAAATTCATAGTTTATTCATTGTTATTCATTGAGCCTCTTTTGTGCTTCATGCTAAACCAAATATTAAATACTGCTTTTGGTTTCCAGAATCATCAAAATAGGCAGTAAATTACAGAACTTTTCAATAATTTTGGTTATTATAAGTATTCCATTTCTAGCATCTGAAATCTGGAGAACAAGCTGTGTTTCTTTTTCCACTATATTTGGACATAATGATTTGGCAAGGAGAGGAGAGTGGGGGATGGGAACTTTGTTAAAATACAAGATTGAGATGTGCAGATGACACATGTGAGGATGTAACTGTGTAGTCACATATAGTTGATTATTCCATAATGTACGATGTTGTTTTTTATATCATTGCATTTTGTTACAGATGTACTCCAGGGCTGAGCTGTGCAAAAAAATTGAAATTTACTTCACTGGGCTCAGAACATTGGGATCATAACCAAGTTTGGTCTAGTGGTTAAAGCATCTCCCTGTTCCCCTTGTTTGAGTTTGGGTCAATTACCAATTACTAAGAGATTGTGAGTTCAAGTTCCTTCATAGGCATGAAAGCTGGTTAAGCAATTTTGGGCTAGTCATTATCTCTCAGCCCACCTATCTCACAGGATTGTTATGAGAAAAATAGGAGGTAGGAGTATTGTATGTGTTTTTTGCCTTGAGTAATTTGCAAAAATAATAAGGCAGAACACATCAAACTTCAGGGTAAATTTAGGGAGGATTATAGCACAAATAATTTATCTCAAAAGTATAATTCTGTGATAATATCATGACTTTTAACTTGTTAAATATTTCATTTCATTTTCATTTCTTTTAATGAAATAATTGATTGTATTATATTACATTTTCCTTCACCAAAATCTCACTCAGATTTTCAGTTACTGAAAAAATACGAGATGAATTTATAATTTATTCAGCAAAGTTGCCACTGACAATTATATATAAAAGAAAAGCTTATATATAATTTTTTTTATCATTTTCTGTTCTGCTAATATATCCAAAACAATTTTTAAAGTAGCTTGATTGCTTGATTATGTATTCCTTTAGCTGACTGTTCAAGAAGAAAATTGTTATAATTTAAATGTTCTTTTCTAGCTTTTAAAAAAGTGATATTTGACATTGATTAGTGCCCAATCCTCTACACTTAAAATTTGTTAATAATTTCAGACAAGCGTTTAAAGGATTGCAGTGGGTATCAACCTATCATATTTTGTTCATCAGGATTGGCTATTGATAAATATATAAGATTGCTATCTTTATCGATTTAACTGATTTACAGAGTGATCCTAAAAATATTTCTTCCAAGTGTGTTTAATGGTGCTTATTCCCATGTAAAAACCTCGCCCTAAAACTGTAATCCTCTGTAAATCATTTTCTTATTAAAATATTGATTGGTTAAATTCAAAATTGATCACAGGAAAGAATTTGTGCATATATTATCTGATAATTTAATTCTAGAATCAAGATTGCAATTTCTAGGAATGTTTTGTGATCGTGCTTTCATCTGAAGTCAATGGCTGCATCCTTGGTTCATTCTGTAACATTGTAAGATGTGTGTTATTGTACATTTTTGTACAAAACCACAAAATAAGATTTCTTTGAATAGCACAAGCATATGAAACAAATACATATTTTACCATCCAACCATCCAGGTGCTTTCATTGGTCAAGGATGAATCTGTTCTTTATCACTAATATGTTATGGCTTCTGCTTTCCTTTCTAATAATATTATACATTCCTCACAAAGATTATAGAAGTGAACCAAAAAATATTTTCAGTTTGACATACAGCAGCCTTATCTGTCAAAAACAAAGTGGTTCATAAACAGTACATATTTTACTTTCATTGTTGCTTACAGATGGTCCATATCAATCTAGTTAAGATTAAGAAATGCGCAGACATTTTTCAGGGTATTATTTTAAATTTATTTTGCAGAAGTAAGCTTACAAATCACCTATTGAGATATATTAAACAGAGAAATTAAATATTAACTCCTAGTTTACCTCTTCTTATGCTTGAATCGTTGATTTTGTGGGAGAAAGAAAGATTGTTGGTCTTCAGGTAATCAAGACCAGTCTTTCACAAATTGGTGAGCAGGATTCAGATCCAAAGCAGACAAGAGTGGTTTGGAAACTAAATCCTATGTTCATCTTCTTAGATGAGTACTTTCCATAACTACTTACTACAGCAGCCAACTCTTTGGGAAACAGGAAAATAAAAGCATGTCATTTTTGGATTGTGCTGAAAAGGGTCCTTTACTGTGTTTCCCATGAGTTTGCCAACTATTTTCACGAAATAATAGGATACTTAGTGGTTGAAGAAGTGGTCAGGGTTGGTTCTTAGTCTATTTCTATTTGCCAAAAGGAGAGTCAAAATTCCATTATGTTACTGATGAGTTTTATCTATCTTCAGAAAAGTATAACCTGAAGTATTTGGCTCTTTTCTTCTTTTACAGCCCCTAGAGGTGCCTCCAACAAATCCCTAAAAATAGGAAGTGCAGCTTCCTGCTGTTTTAGGTAGGAAACCAAAAAAACAAATTCCCAAATGGGCTAATATTGTTTTTAGAAATTCCTCTTTAAAAACAGAAGATCCTGTCCCTGCCATTATATATGGAACAATCTCAACCATTTCGGATCATTTTCACTCCTGCCGTAGTTCTCATTATTCTCCAAAATCTAGAAACCCCAATTAAAGTCATTCATCT